GGCTACGCCGTCGACAGCTACAAGATGTTCGTCGGGAGTTTAAGGAAGGCCGGTTTCACCGGAGATATCGCGCTCTCCGTGTCGCCCGAGAAGGAGATGAAGCGCCACGTCGCCGCCTACCTGAAGAACCAGCACGTGCTCGCCTACCCCTTCAAGTTCACCTGCGGCGGGCCCCGGGGCCGAAAACTCCTCGTGACGCCCGGCGGCTGCGTGCTCGACGACTGGTACCGCGACCGCGACGCGCGGGGCCCGCGGCCCCTCGCGATCTCGCGCTACGAGATGTACGAGACCTGGCTGCGCCAGTACTCCGCCGAGAGTTATGTGTTGGACCTCGACACGCGCGACACGTTCTTCCAGGCCGACCCCTTTTTGCCGCTCGCGGCGCGCCGGTCCGCGGCGGACCACGCGCGGGACCTCTACGTCTTCGAGGAGGACGGCCTCAAGACCACGGGCACCTGCAAGTGGAACAAGGGCTGGCTCCGCTGCTTCGAGGCGGCCAAGTGGCACACGCCGGAGACGTGGACCCAGCCCGTGCGCTGCAGCGGGTCGACGCTCGGGTCGCGCGACGCGATGCTCAAGTACGTCGACGCGATGCTCTCCGCGAGCGACGAGTGGCTCTGCCACCGGACCAAGGGCATCCCCTCGGACCAGGGCTACCACAACTACCTCATCCTCAGCGGCGCCCACGCGCGCAACGGCCTCCGCGTCGTCTCCGAGCCGCGCGGCTCGGGCGTCGTCCACACCATCGGCGCGATGAACGGCAACTCCGTGCCCATGGAGCTCCTGGGGCCGTTGGACACGAAGTGGAAGGTGCGGGACCCGGTCAAGGGCTTCATCACGAACACGGACGGGAGCCGGAGCCCCGTCGTCCACCAGTGGGACCGCTGGGCCGGCGAGATGAAGACGTTCCTGACCAAGGCCTTCGTCACCGACAGCTTCGTGCCGGGCAAGGGCGAGCTCTACGCGCGGCCCTTCGAGTTCGTCGCCTACGACCCGAAGACCTGCGCCGACCACCCCTTCGTGACGAAGCACAAGAAGGGCTGCGACCGCCTCCGCGCGGAGAACGCGGACTGGGTCTCCCAGGCCGGCCTCAAGGCGACGCAGGCCTGCTGCAAGTTCGGCGGCGGCATCAAGAAAGGCGCGTAATTGCGAGATTTTTGGTTTTGCGCTCGAAGCTTGGTCGGGCGCCTAGCCCAAGTACCAGCCCTGACAGATCTAGATGTTGAGCCTCGGACCGATTTTAAGAACTGCACCATGAAGTCACATTGAAGTGCAAGTTGACGAGCTTTGTGAACGCCGCAAGCTCTCTCGGTCAACCGCCGCCGGTGTCTCGAGTCGCCTCGCGCGCGAGCCGCCGCGCCGCCAGTGCCTCGTCGCTGCGTCGTCATGGCGACCACCATGGAGCCCGTGGAGCTGCCGAGCTTCGCGGAGCGCGCGCGCCAGCAGGAGGCGCGGCGCGCGCAGGTCTTGGCGCAGCGGCAGGCCGAGCGCGACGCGAAACGCCAGGCGAAGGCGAAGCGTTCGAGCCTCAACTCGACGGACGCGACCTACGACCCGTCGGACTACGCCGCGCGGCGCCAGAAGGCCATCGAGCAGGCCCGGC